GAACTTTGACCCAGTAGCCTCGGTGCTGTCAAGTATTCATTGAACTGCACAGCCTTGTAGATCTGGCGTCATGTTCGGGAGGTTCCTTCTACACGGCGCCACATCCCAGACAACGGCATTCTTCTATATAGTTAATATTCCATTTGCGCAAGAGCTACTCTTTTAAGATTTTCGCGTTTGCTCATAAATGTACTCACATGTTTCTCAGTAAAGTTTCGAAGACATATTTTCAACGCTACAAAAATTATTTCAGCTATCCAACATAAACCCCCAAAATGTACTTCCGCGCAATGTCCCGAGAAACTTGGATCCGCCACTGGTTGATATTATGTATTAGTATACATCAGGCGATCACATGAAACTTGTGCAGACCGACGGAAGTATTTACGAGTAATGTTAGCCTGCCCACGACACAGACCTCTTGGCGAGATCCACAGATATTGAAAATGTGACAGAAAGTGTGCCTTCAGATTCTGAAATAGACTATGCAGGCTAATATAATCGCCTTACTGGCCCACTGAAGAGAAAAACAAAACTCTAACCTGCCCAAGATCCAAACTTCTCGGTGAGATCCACAAAAGTTGGTTGAAAGTAGGGCAGCAAATGTATCTTCACGCCTTGATATAAAGTCCATAGGCTATCGGCCAGTAACCACAATATTAGCACACAACCGACGGCAGCTAGAATCCCTACTATCATGCTTATGTCCGTCATGTTACTGGCCCACACTGGCCACTCACTCGGCGGCACCAGGAGAGCGACTAACCCACGCAGACACTAAGCCGCGAATGAAGTGTCACGCACGAGCTGTCACTAATACTACTTCTCCCCCACTTTCTCTTCCGGGCCGGTTTACATAGTTCATTATTTTGTCCGCGTCCATGAAGGGAAAAGTTTGGTTCACATGATTACTATGTATGTATTTTACTTGAGATAAGTGAACAATTATCGATCGATATATCGATCGAAATGCAATTTGCTAGACAGGAACCAAGATTTCGGGGGAAACGTCTTCCTCTGTCTTCAAGTAGAAGAGTGATAGGGAAGTTGTTTAAGTATTTTCTCGTTTTAACGGACCGCCTCTGTGGTCTAGTGGCCAGAATTCCTGGCTACAGATCTAGAGGCCCCAGGTTCGATTCCCGCCGCTACCAGATTTTCTGAGAAGTAGTGGGTCTGGAACGGGGTCCACTTAGCCTCGCGAGGATAATTAAGGGGCTACTTGAATGAAAAAGTAGTGACTCCGGTTTAGAAAACCGAGATTAACGGCCGTGGGGATCCATTGTGCTGAGCACGCGACATCCTTTATCCGAAAACTTCGCCGACAAGCGGCGGTCGGTGGGTCGGTATAGTTCGCTTGCGGACTACAGGCCACGATGTATTTTTTTTATGAGTCGTGAAATTTGCACAGGGCAAAATATGTATAGGAGGCGATGCAAGAATTCAGGGGACAACTTTACCAGTGAATGAGAAGTGGAGAAGCAACTGGATGGTCTTACACAAAATCCACCCAATCCACATAAAGAGAATGAAAGAGATATGTGCATGGGTGAGTACCCCCCCCCCCCGACTTAGTTCTAACTTTAGGATTGTTCGGGGTTTATTCCGTAAATCTGTATTATTTCCGCTAATTCACATTCGTACTTATTGGTAATATTCATAAACCTTAAATAGTAGAACGAGACAGACCATCAGACAATATTTTGGATGTCCCAAAATTCGGTTATGTCCAGTAAAAACACTTAACATATTTTTCGTATTTTGTAAGGAAAGAAGAGCTTCTAGTATGTGCCTGTCCTCAAAACGTGTGTTGACACAGATTTTTATATAGTAGCGAAGCACAACTCAATAAATGTTTACTTTTACATTTCACTTTCCACGTCCCTGTCCGCAATAATTATTTCTTGAATAACAGACCGTATTTTGTGAAATGTATTCTGAACATCACGCCATTAGAGTCAAACCCAAAGTTATCTCCTATTTCCTGCAGTCACTAATACCATTATAACTGCCAGGCAAACTTCTGAGATGGGACTGACACTGATGCAGGTGTGGTAAAAGAGTATTGAAAATATGCAGATTTGTTGATGTAATACTTCTGTACATCGGAATGAAAACATGATAGTGACACAAATTTCATGCCTACAAATTATGAATGAAATTTTTCTTACACATGTTAAAAATTACAGTGACAGTGATCCTGAAGAAGTTAAATATGTCTGGCCAGAGGTGTCCCAGATTTTTATGTCAAAAACTGAGAAACCAATATAAAAGAATTATATACTTCCAATATCAGCATACATATTTGGGACATTTTCTGTGTCAGCCTACTTTCCTTATTTTGAAAAAATAAAAGTAGCCTTATGATATCGCCAGGCTTTTGAATGCCTGGATCGATCTTAATGAAACTTGGTGTGTATATCATACTACCTGAAGTCATCTCATCAGCGTATTTATTAAATCCTTTTTGCTAGTAGTTCAAACAGTACAGCCTCTCAAATTATTGAGGGAATACCCTTAATGTTACTTGAATGCCTAAACTATCTTCATGAAATATCATATGCATATCATTGCCACCTGAGACCATCTCCATGGCATACATCATAAATCCCTCTCTAATACTAATATCATAACCTCTGAAATTGTTGAGGTAATATCCTAAATATTACTTGAATTGCTGAAGTGATAGTCATGAAACTTGAGTTGTATACTGTGCCACCTCAGACCATCTCAATGGCATACTTAATACATTTCTCCCATCTGTAGTACCAATACTACTGCCTCTCAAAATGGTGAGGTTATACCCTTAATGTTTCTTGAATGCCTCAACCGATCACATGAAACATTGTGTATATATGTCACCTGAGACCATCTCTAAAATGTGATTCATAAATCCCCCCTCCCCATCAGTAATACCAACATAGCAGCCTCTCAAATTGTGGAGGTAATAACATTAATATTACTTGAATGCATGAACCAGTCTTCAGGAATTTTCGTATGTACTCATATATCATGCAACCTGAAGCCATCTCACCGGTGTACTTCATAAAACCTTCACATTAGTAATACAAACGCTGTAGGCTTTCAAATTACATTGTTTTATTAACTTTACTAAGCATACTTACTAAAGATTTTCTACCTGCTATACCAGTTACTCAGATTATGGTGAAAGGAAAGCCAGCAATAAATTCTTCTCACAGTTTCCTTTTTAATATTACAACTAGGCAAGTTGACTCAAGCAGTAGTGCTTCCGACTTGTATTCAGAGGGTGTTTGTTTCAGATTTTGACTGGGACACCTGCCATCCTGAGTTTCTTCACAGGTCTCCTCAGTTTCTCCAAGCATATGAGGAGACAGTACCTTATGACAGGCAATGGCCATGTCTTTTCCAGTACATCACTCACTCTCATACTATTAGATGACATTATGTAGTCTGAGTTACTGATGTTAAATAAATTTGAAATGAATATAGAATATCAATATATGATGTGCATATGAAATTTGTACCACTGCTCTTGAACTAGAGTGAACAGAAAAGAAATTCAAACATATTTGAGTGCGATATATTATTCGAGTTTCTGTCACATACATTTTACGGATATTTCATGAGGAAATTGTGAATGGCCCAACAGATATATCAACAAGTCGATTGAGGGTAACTGTAGCCACAGCAACTCTCATTCTCCCATCAAGTTCCAGCAAAATGACAGCCATTGGTGGCATGCACATAGCATTCTTGGTATGCCCACTCAAATGCAGTAAATTCAGGTGAATGAGATGGTCAAGTGACATTCTATTCCTCTGGAAATTTGTAATTTAAGAAATGTTACTTCCTTGTGCAAATTTGGAGGTACTCCATCTTGTTGAAATAACATGATATTAGGACCCTCTGCTTCTACGTATAACAGGCATGAGGAATTCCTCCATTGTATCTAGATGCACTCTGCCTGTCAGAGTGAATTTGGCAATTAAAAAAAGGCTGGAAAATTTTTTGTTTAGACAAAGCACAAAACAGATTCAACTTTCGACTGTCTACTCATATGTTTCATTTACTTCCAAATGACTGTTGTCCCACCACATTCTCAGATTATGTTAATTAGATTTACCAGTGACATCACTGAAAATAATTTTTGCTGTAAAACGTTTGTCATCCTGAAGCCTTGAAAGTGACAGCAGAATTTGTAGTGAATTGCTCTTGGGCAGTTGCATGTTGCAGTAGTTGGTACCTACAACTTCTAAATATCAAATGTTACCACAGAATATATTGCATTGTTTTATGTCATTTAACTGTCAAGCAGTATGTCAGTTTGATCTGTAAGGATTGCATAATGGAAGTTGTTCAGACTTCATCCATCTGACCTTCAGTGACTGGTTATCTAGCAGTGTATTTTCCTGTACAAATGCAAACAGTCTGATCAAACAATTTATACCACTTGTAAACTGATATTTTCACTGGTGGTTTCCTCCATACCCCACACAAAATCTTCTTTGCACTGTAAACACAGATCTAGATTTATGAAAGAATGACACACATTTAGCTATTTTTACTTGAGATACTATTTTTACACTTCAGGTGGAAAGATATGAAAACTCAAGTAGCACAAATTATAAACTTGATCATATAACCTGCTTGAATGCTTTTAGTTTTCATTCTTGTGCATGGTAAATATGTATGTATTTCAAGTGTACATCCTGTTTTATAATGCAGAAGAGTAAACATGATAACAGAAGTGACTGTGTATTTTTAAACTTCCTGTCCATGTATCTGAAACCTTCACAATCATCACTTTATTTTTAAGCTGTTCCTTAAAAAAATGTCACATATTAGTGACTAGGCTAGTTTTGACTGAAAACTGGATTTATTGAATGCTTATGACTCTTAACTACAAATAATTGTAACATTCACACTAATCTACACACTCTAGAAATCACTACAGCACGCATCAAGTTTTCTCAGTTTGTTACATCTTCACTAGTCACTGCTAAGTAGTGGCTAAACGGCTAAACTGCTAAACTTGTGCTGGACTTTGCTAGCACAGTCATTCTCAGTTCTGGGCCACATAATCATATTTTTCTGTCTCACAACTCTGAGTCATGAGACTCTCTCTCAACCCATATTTTTTTTCAGAGTCAGAGTCACTTTACAACTGGCTCTTTACCACCAATTGGTTCGTGTTGGTGACAAACCCCTTGAGACTCATGACAAGCGATTTTTTTTTCCCAATTGAATCCTTTTGGTCATAGTCTTCTGACACGAGGACGGGTCTGTCGTTTGCAATTGCCGCTGCTCATTCTTGGGTCCAAGTCCTGCGGGACTCATGACCACATTTTACTGTCTCAGATTTCAGACTCCCCCAACCTCGAGAGCCGGGTCCCTGTATTTATATCCCACAGGAACAGGGGGGCCCAGTTATAGCCCCCGGCACTGGGTTCCCTTTTTGTCAACTCCTATGACTCACAGGGCTATGGTGGAGGTATTCAACGCCACCTCCACGTGGGCTGCTGGTTCTCATTTTATAGAGTTTGCATGGACTACATAGAGAACACTGCTTCTTCTATTGTCACATGTGTATTCATTGCCATAGGAATATGTTTACCAAGCTGCTGCCTAGTAACAGCCATCTCTTCTGGCTCTGCTATTCTAACTTTCAGGTGTCACACAATATGTTTATATCATATAATTCTTAGTCTGCTTCTACACTTTTCATGGTTTAGGATTTCTGTCCTGATCCAAAATTTATGGATCCTTTAGGCTTTGGTGGGATCTTGGATGGAGAAATAATCTAATTACAAAGTTTCCAATTTAGCTTCTAAAGGTTTTACCTGGAAGATTATCTGTTTCACCCTTGCTCAGTTTTCCTTCTGTATTTCTCAGACAATTTTCTGGTGTTCTTAGGCTAATAATACTTGATACTATGCAAGAGTGTAACAACAGATGGACAGCTTCTCAGGTCAATTGCCCATAGTACATAAACCCCAGAACCCATGAAACATTTATCAAACAAGCATTAGATAATTTAAATTCCTCATAAAAAATTATACTTTAAAAATGTTTACTTATTATGAATAAACTGTTTTAGGAAACTGTATACTGAAAGATGCTGGCTGTGATGAAACAGAGGCAGACATATTTAAATGTTCTTTATTTTTAGGCCCAATTTTACTTATTTGAGAAATTACACATTAAAATATGATTACAATACTCCCAGAAAAAATATTACAAATTATGGTACTGAATTAGAGTTGATATTACATAATAAACATGAACATAAATTCATAAACTGTTGTAAAATACAGTATATGACCCATAGTTGATTGCAAATATACTTCATTAGAAATGTGAAATTGCATGAAAATAAAATGCTTGAAATACTGTATGCAGCAATTCTATTAATGATATAAGATTTAATGAAGGATCTCACATTTGGCTTGCCAAATCCACTTGGTTAATTTGCTAGAAGGCTTTGAAAAGTATTTCTGCCCCATGAGACTGATGTATCAGGTCATTTAGGATGATTTGAAAGAAATGGAATTATGAAACAAATAGAAAGTTAAGTCTTCGCTTCATGAGAATTAAACCAGACAACATTTCAGTACAGAAAGCTGAGAAAAAAGTCACTAATGATGTGTGAATGAAAAAAAAAAAATGCACATCGCAGGCAAAATAATGGCAAGGAAAATAGTATCACATCAGGCATAGAATTGTAATCTTCCTGATGGTGATTCTTTCTCAAAAATACAAAACTGAATACTGTAGTTAAGTAACAGTAAGCAAGTGTAATAATTAATTAGGTGTATACTCTATGGATGACCAAGTTGTCTTATTATATAAAAATAAGAATGCCGTAGTTGTATTTTGTAAAGCCATTGTGGGGAAAACTAATAGCACATACAAAATTAATACCATGATTATGAGCGCCACTAAAATATTAAAGATAGTTATTCAGATATTACAAAAATAAGTAGTATAATAATGGCAACTCAACTCTGAACATAAACATGTTCTTCTGGATGTGACAAATGTTGCAAGTATTTTAGTGTTGTTTACAGGAAATAAGCTGATAAAATTAGTTGAACACATGATAAATGATACAAACTCTGTCCCAAGTGCAAACAATATATATTATATGTCTTTGATAAAATTTACAGTGTGGAAACAAGAACTAGCCGCTGCAGCACTTTAGACATAGGGCGGGTAACCCTAACAATTTTAAATTTTAAATTTAGAGAAATTTTAAAGGATTTTAAAATTATAACTAAAGATTTTATAGTGCTAATAAAGGAAAATCAAAATTGATGTGCGCAAAATAATCTACATACCAGACAGATATCAACGAGGTAGATGTTGATAATAACGAAGAAAATAACAATGTGTTTTTTAAATGTTAAATTTTAGACTCGGTTCAGTGTGGCAGCAACGTAAGAGTATACACCTGATGATGGCCGATAGAGGCCGAAACATGTAGTGTAGAAGAGAATAAGATCAAAGACATATAATATATATTGTTTGCACTTGGGATGGAGTTTGTATCATTTATCGTGTAGAGTGCAACAGGATGCTTAAATATAATATAGTTGAACACAGTTTTCAAAATTACTCTGTTAACTAGTTTCAATAGAGATATTTCTGAGAAACTTTAGAATTCTACTCTCAAATGATGGCTGTGTCCATGTGAACAAAATTCACTTTTTATTAGTGCTAATTAGCAGAGATAAATCTCATGTGACACAACAGTAAACAGAAGGAAACATAAACTGGAGGATACACATTCCATTCTGAATGACTGGATTTATAAAATATGGGAATGCTGTGCTTCCTTGATTCCCAGTGATAACAGAGAACGCAAACCATTATAATATTACATATTGTCATAGTATGGGGTGGTTTGGTAGAAGAGTTGCCAGAAGAGTTACTGATCATGCACAGATTACCATTCGTTACTGCCGTAAAAATGTAATCACACATGACAAATATTTAGTATACAATGCCACTAAGTACCATTATCCTAGTCCACTCCGAAAGACATTTTAAATGTTAAAAAATTATGGAAAATGTATGCAAACAGCTGGGAACTTACAATAAAGGCACTCAAAGAGTTTCATTAAAACCATGTAAATAGTAATAGATCTGGTTTAAAATACAGCATTAATATAAAGCCGTTTCTTCTCCTCCTTTGCTTTCTTACATTTCACACAATATTTTTCATAAGTTCATCCTGTAATGTTAACTGACTGAAGATATGAAATGCTAATGATTTCATTTAAGTGGAAAGGTGATGTAGCATTAAATCTGTAAGTCCTTCATAAAGGTATAATCCCTTTATGAACATGAATATACTATTCATTCACGTGTATGTCCCAATATAATTTATGTTATTCCTGTCTAATCTCCTATTTAATAATCAACAATTACATTAACAGGGATGCCAAAGTAGGGAATTATAGCAGGTGTGAAAGAAGAGCAGAAGCCCTAAACACATTGCCTGTCTAAACTGTGTTATGCAGTGAGTCCATACCCAAAAGATTTGGCAGGACTTTTAGCATCCCTGTCATCCATAACAAATTATGAATTTTGGTGTAACAACATAATTAACAAAATATCAGTCTTACATTTCCGTTCTTTCATTAAAACATAACAAAAAGTTTTTTAACAAAAAAGTATAACTACAAATTACATTGTGAAAATAACACATATGAAAAATTCAACCCATCACACAAAACTGTACTATAATATATCTAATCAGGTGCAGATGTAAACATTATCACAGCTATATTCACTTCTACTACAACAATGATATACATTCACATATTTTTTGCTGTCTTATTTTGCATGGAAACAAAATCTCAAGAAAAGTTTTACAATTCATTATAACACTGTTGCTGATACTGAAAAAAAAAGTCTCCGTGGCCTGTAGTCCGCGAGCTAACTACACCGACCGAGCGACTACTGCTTGTCTGCGAAGTAAGTGCCAACTTTAGTGGATAGAGGGTGTCGCGTGTTCAGCGCAACAGATCCCCACAGCAGTTCATCTCGGGTTTCTAGACTGGAGCCGCTATTCCCTTGAAATAGTTCCTCAATTATCCACACGAGGCCGAGTGGACCCCGTTTCAGACCAACTACTTCTCAGAAAATCTGATAGCCCCGGGAATCGAACCTGGGACCTCTCGATTTGTAGCCAGGAGCTCTGACCACTAGACCACAGAGGCAGTACACCTGATACTGCAACACAACATAAATTTAATTCCTGAGTAGCTCATGTTACGACAGACAGGCAAGAGATGGGAATCATAAGGGTTTTCTTACTAATACTGTTCTAAATACCATCTGTATTCAGGTGTGGTCGGGCTGAATAACCATTTCTAGGAACAGACCAGAAACATATATGTATATTAACAGAGCAAATAAAATGAGCCATTTGTCACTATCATAAATATGGTCTTACTTTTAAATAACAAGCGTTCTTGAGAATTTAAGTCTTCTTCTTTACACATGAAAGCTACAAGAAAATGTCTTCTAAAAATTCTTATGTATTTTTCCACTCTATTCCCGAATGTTTCAGGCAATGTACCAATGAATTCTGCATACATGACAGCATCAACCAGTCATCACTTAAGAAAAACTGTCTATTATGCTTTGCATTTGTCATGTGCTATGAAATTTCATTATTGTTGCATTAACAATACAATTCACTACCACATGTAAGTACAGCAAATAGAAGACAACCCTAGCGTTTGCATATCTAACATTTATAAAAAACATCAAAATCTAGCCATACTAATTTTTTGGACACCCTATTTTAGCAATATTTTTACAGATTACAACAATTTTTAAACAGCAGAGATGATATACATGAAATATAAACCTCAATTAAAAAAAATATTTTTTTGTACATAATTTAACAGCTTGATTGTTAAAAATGGAAGCCCATGTTGATGGATACTATAAATGTTACAAAATATATGCACTTTTATTGCCCTTGCACAAAACTTTGGTGTAATGTATCAGTTTAGTTGCTGTTAACAGTGAACTGGACCCAAAATAGTGTCTTTTCATGACTGCTGCTTGACCATTGTTACTAAATTGTACAATATATATATATATATACAAGGCATGTTTACCCTCCTTGAAATATATGAAGAATTTACCAACTTCATAAAGAACACATTATGGACGATGAGTAATTATTTTAATTGTGAAGAGTTTATACTGAAAGTCAACCAGTTTTTTGGAGGAACACTTTTTAGGTCAAAGAGTATGCCACGCAAGAAACCATGGTAGAGTAAGAATGTCCCTGCAATTGTGATAATACTGATGAGATACATATGAAGTCAAAATAAGGGATTACTTCGTGTTCTGGAATTCAACAGTCTGCAGACGTCTAGAACTGGAATATAAAAAGCTATTCAAAATTATCTGCATTTAATTAATGCAAACTTAATTTAAAATTTCCATTTGGAATTATATGAGACGTGAGACTTGTATATCCAGTGCTCAACATTAGTTTCTGGTAATAATTACTGGCGAAGCTGAAAGGATCATGTGACAGTATGTTCACAAATATGCAAACAGTTATTTTCTCAGCAGTTATGCACATTCAATGTCACAGTGTACTATCTGCATAATCCCCAACACTGCCTTTACTGCTGTATGTAGACAAGTAGTTGTTCCAATAATTCTGACTGTGTATTTTTCATCATTCCTTCTGTCTGGAATAAACTATCAATATTAGAAACATTACAAAGTAATGGCAGTATGAAATACTTAGATTAATTTTATGTTTTATGTTTGATACTAATTTATTATGAGACTGAAAATGTCTGAACGCAAACATACTGGTCATATAAATTGAGAATAGTATATTTTAAGGAATTAGTCACTACAGCGCGGGTTGTATGTCTTGAAAAATTTATTCTCAGATGGTAAAAGAAGGTTCAGCATTATAAAACCTGATGGTTCATTATTTTGTCAAAGAAACCTTCCATTTCAATCTTTCTGAGTGAATTCAATCCAGTCCACAAACTCAGACCCTATTTTTCTGAGATCCATTTCAATATTATTCTTCCATCTATGCCTAGGGAGCTCTTCCTTGAGGTTTTCCATTTAAAATTTTGTACGTATTTCTCATCTCATCATGTGCCTTACATATTTATATATCTAATTCCTCTTGATTTAATCACCCTAATAAAATTAGGTGAACAGTATTAATTATTAAGCTCCTCATTATGTAATTTTCTCTATCCTCAAGTACTTTTTTTAATTTATCATATTAACTTATTCTGGTGTGTCATTCATATCCCACATAAATTAAAAGCCTTAATGGAGCAGAAATGGCTAAAATTACTCATATTCTCAAGGTGGTCTATGCCTTGTATTTGTATACATAAATGTTATACACGTCACAAAACATTAATATTGTCATACAACAGGATGCTGTTATGGTAACATACTGTAAAATTTGTATAGTTTTAAACATGATATATGTATAGTAGTGGTAGACCACATTAATACCAAGCAGCATATATCTATAAATACTTATGGCAGAATTAATACCGTTTGGTATCACTCTACTGCTAGATTATTTACTGAGAAATGTGACATTCTTAAGGTTCTGCTTTTCTGTCCATCCTGTGTATTTTATTGTCTCCGATGTCTTAAGTTCTTGCATGTTCTCTTCTTGCATTTTAATTAAAATTGTTTCCTTTATATAAGTTTCTATTAAAATCTGCACCTGTAATGAGAAAGTTGCAACACATCAAACACGACATGTCTAAATATCGATATATCACAAACAATTAATAATACAAATTTATTTTCATCAAATTAATTAACTTTTGATGACTTATATATGGTTACATATTTTTGAATGTATAGTGTATGTGTACAGCTAAATTTATATNAGTATAGTATAGTATAGTATTTATTGCATTCAAGCAAATCCAATTACAGGCCAACACCACTGGACACAGAACAAGTCAAATATCTTCAACAAATGCTCCAACAATGGAACTAGTCAACATAAAATATACATCAACCTAAAATATACATAACACTATACCATGTTTAATTGTAAATAAAATAAATTAAAATTGTAATAAAAACACATTACATAATAAATTCATTCAACTTAGTAGCTTATATATCTCAAACCATAAAAGATCACAACATCCATCAACTATAATGAGGTATGTTTGTTACATGGCATACCAGTCAAGTTGGAGATTATATCTTACATGTTCAATACCAAATAAAACCAGTCAAGGTATAAGCTTGCTATATACAATGCAGGTATCAGTGCAGTATCCTTGAATGTACAACTGCACATCCAAACAATGCATGCAATATTGAATGAACATAGTAAATTACTACTCATTTTATATAAGTGACAGGAGGTTTGAGAAAACTGCGTAACAAGGAGCTTCATAACTGTACTCTTCTCCAAGTATAATTAGAATGATTAAATGAAGGAGGATGAGATTGGCAGGGCATGCAGTATGAAGGGCGAGAGAAGAGGAATGCATATAAGGTTTTGGTGGAAAAGCCAGAAGGAAAGAGACCACTAGGTAGACCAAGACATAGGTGGGTGGATAATATTAAAATAGATCTTAGAGACACAGGATGGGGTGCTATGGACTAAACTGATCTGGCTCAGGATATGGACCAATGGAGGTCTCTTGCGAACATGGTAATTAACCTTCGGGTTCCATAAAATGTTGGGAAATTCTTAAGTAGCTGCACAACTGGTGGTTGCTCGAGGAGGGCTCACCACCATGAGGTTAGTTAGTTACTTAGTTAGACATGGCATTTCCCCATGTAGTCACACTGTAGTGTAAGTACACTGAAAATCACAGACAGGCTCTGAAACTGCAAAAATCTTAATGCTTTAAAATATAACAATTCCCGTTCCCACAGCCACAAACATGTGTAAAAATTGGGCTACAGCTTACAGACTCTTTCCTTATGGGAACCTGCTCTCAAACAAATGCTTCACTGAAGCACTCATCTCTCTGTACTCTATTTCCTGATAATTTAGATGTGAAAGAAGTTTTACCTGAATTGGACACAGCTATCACTTAAGGCAAGATACTGCTTTCTGGGCAGCTTCCTCTAGGTCAGATGCAGACATGATGTCAAGGCCAGAAGTTGACAAAATCTGCTTCGCTTCATTTACATTTGTACCTGACGCACAATTACACAACAATAATTAAACAAAAGTCCTCATCTATGGAGCGAATTGCAGGACAACTGAAGTGCACATATAACACCCACATTTTAAAAGCTCTCTGTGTGGCTCAAATGCAATGACAGTAAATCACATACTGTCTTGTCTCAAGGGACAAGAACCAGACTTCCATACTGGAACTCTAGTATAAGACTTAGGACCCCATATGTTTATCTGGTAGAACATGAATACAAAATCTAAAACTAAAAAACTTCTATAAATCATACATATTTTCTTGGTTTGTACTTTCAGAGACCATATAATAATAAAGTTTAACGGATAATACAGAACTGTATAAATTTCTTGCAGCAATATTACTCTATTTTCATAAATTAATAGCATTCCTATATGTTAATTCTCACCTTCTAAACGCACTATCAAGGGAACATTTAACTTCAAATTGAGTGATGCATTTACGATTCCATTTGCTATTGTGGCACAGTTAACAATCCCACCAAAAACATTCACCAATATGGCCTTCACATTTGGATCTGCAAGTAAGCACAAGAAAACATTCATTATTAAATAAATTACATACTACTATGCAAATCTTAGGTTGAATAACAGACTTGTATATGTGATTCTGTAACCAAATTTTACTTACTTATGGAGCTGAGCCCTTCTTGAGGAGCCGCCAAATCTGCAGCTACTCTAGAATTTCCCAACATTTTATGGAACCCGAAGGTTCATTACTGTGTTCACAAGAGCCCTCCACTGTTCCCTATCCTAAGCCAATCCAATCCATACCATCCCATCCTATATCTCTAAGATCCATTTTAATATTGTCCATCCGCCTACACCTTGGTCTTGCCAGTGGTCTCTTTCCTTCTGGCTTTCCAACCAATAGCCTATATGCATTCCTCTTCTCCCTCATTCGTGTTACATGTCCTGCCCATCTCATCCGCCTTGACTTGATCGTTCTAGTTATACTTGGAGAAGAGTACAAGTTATGAAGCTCCTTATTATGCAGTTTCCCTCAACACCTTCAGTCTATGTTCCTCCCTTAATGTCAGAGACCAAGTTTCACACCCAAACAGAAGCACAGGCAAAATTATAGTTTTGTATATTCTAATTTTTATGTTTTTGGATAGCAGATGAGAAGTAAAAAGGTTCTGGACTGAATGGTAGCAAGCATTAGCCGAGTTCAATCTCCTCTTAATTTACTCCTGAATCGAACCAAATCATGATTGGAGCACCATGGCCAGAATATGGTTGTCCAATCAAGGACATGTTTGGTGCGAAAATTGTGGAGGGTTATCATCATGCCGAAACCCCATCCATTTTAAATCAGTATACCGGATTCCGCCAAGATATCTCGCATGGTCTGTGTCTGAATGTTTGGTACGTAAAATTTGTCCAAACAAAATCATGTAACTTCTGTGTTGCAGTAACTCATTCAGACATGTGGAGTGTCCACCCTCAGTAGAGTTTATGTTACAAACAGCTTCGCCTGCAATGACACCTACCTGATGTGAGAATCTGAAAAGCTTTAAAAACCTGATCCTCTTGAACACCCCCACCTACATCCAGGAAGTTGGCTGGCTCTCCACCATGCAACTTTATGATATCCATAGTGGCCATAGCAAGGCCAGCACCATTCACTAAAAAGAAACACTAATATAAAGTCAAGTCTACAAGCAGCCTCATTTGTAGATGTAAATATTTCCAATAATATTAAAATTTATAATATTCTGATGATCTAATTTCAGTTATTCTATATGTCTATTATAAATACTATACGCTTTAGTATATAAAGAACAACATGGAAGGTTTAATTTTATGATGTTACACTGTATCAGTTGAAGAAGAAACTTAAAATTCCAGTTCTTATTTGCCAACACTACAATTTAATTCTAACTTCTTTGACATATGTGGCATAATTAAATCATTTCTGGTTTGTGTCTTTTTCTCTGCAATAACTGCATTTACCCTCTACTCCATTCTGTTATCTTTTAAGCAGTTCCTTTGTGACTTGATGCAGTATGTCTACCAACTGCACCACTGTTAGAAGCATCTGAACTTGGCATAGCAACTTGGGTTGGGGGGGAGTGATATGCATACATGTGTCACAAGCTACAAATATCTTTATAATTCTGGCTCACAGACTTCAACTTTTTAGACGCTCTAAATATCTTAAGCGTATTCTCCATATTTTTAAATTACCAGAACATTAAAGAAATCATTATCATTATCATTTTATTGTAATTCAACAATCCATACATACAGGTATTACAACCATTTGGATAAGGAAATTGTCAGTTTTACATCTAATTCTTGTGCATATCTTTACAGTATACACTGTACCACCCTAATATAGGGGGGTTTGTTGTCTGAATAATATTATAGATCTAGTTACCATTAACTGCATTATCTTTACATAAATACAACAAATTAATCAGCTATATATTACATTTACACACCTGAAAAATCAAAAGACATAAATTCATCTACAGAATACAAGGAATGTTTAAGTAAAAATGATTTTAATTTCTTTTTAAATGAGTTAAAATAAGGTGTTAAATTATCTTCAAAAGAATTACATTATTGCTTACTTTTAGTTCTCTGAAAACTTTCTAAGAACCATTACACAGTGCATGTCAGAATCACCAAAAAAGCACTGGGCAGCAAAGTGTGGCAATATAGCAATGTTGTAGAAACAATGGAAGTGGGCTACTGACATTTAAATTATTTCTTAATAAATAGCAAATTAAATCAACATTTGCAACATTATGACTCCAGCCCAGCACTAGTACATGAAATTGTATGCTGAACAGTACTAAAGGTGAACATTTTCCCATCACGGTGGCCTGAGTTTGATCAAGTGGGATTTGTGGTGGACAAAGTGGCGCTGGGGCAGATTTTCTCCGAGGACTTCGGTCTCCCCTGCCAATCTTCATTCCACCAACTGCTCCACAATCACCCTTACCTATCATCTGGGGCTGGTACAATAGGCCAGAAGTGGCCGCAATACACGGGACTTAGTCCCACCCCACTAGCAATAAAAAAAAAGAGGTGAAATTTTCAAAAAGGTGGATGAAGATCAAGGTAAATTTGTAGGAAATAGTGGGAAGTTTTCAATGGAGAATCACAACAGGGTCAAAATTTGAGATCATTTAGGAAAATAAGAAAAAAAGTGCCAACTACAGCATTACAAAATTAAGAAAGTTTTACAGTTTTATTTAAGACTTTGCACACATTACTGTAGACTTACCAAGACAACCAATGTTGCCAGACATTGGAATGTAATTTAGCTTGGCTTTTGCTGCTTCTACTTCACGTGGATCAGTTTCTGATACATCTTCCAGGCTAAAGATGTCTCTCTGTCGAAACTGAGCATTATCGTCAAACTGAAGTTTGGCATCTACTGAAATGACATCACCTTTGTCTGTCTCAACAAAAGGGTTTATTTCCATCTGCAGAGCATCAACACTTTGGAATAACTTCCATAATTTTTTAATCTGCTCTGTAGCCTGAAAAGAGATAAAAAATATTAGTATCATTCACTTACTTATCAAAAAGTAAAACAACTTCATGGAAATTCAAAGGGCATTACTCTGTGCATTTCCTATAGTTATGTTTCTTCCAACTCACATGCACATACACATCGTGAATTTCTGACTTAAGGTTTCTCGATGGAAAATATCTATTACCCATAAAACACTGAAAAGCATAATGGCTACTACAGTGATTCTCAGGTTTATTTTGATTTAGTGTATAACAAGATGACACTCGGACTTCATGCAGTATGGAAAACAAGAAAAACTTGATCAGAAAAATTGAAGGGACATGAGTCATAGATGAGAGGAAGATATTAAAACATATCACAGAGAAACAGGTGAATGCAGGCTTGATTCAAATGGCTCAGAACAGGCAACATTAACAGGCCTTTGTGAATCCAGGGATGAATCTTCAGGTCTAAAAAACATGAATTCTTTAAATGGAATAACTATGAAATGCTGAAGGAATAGATCTCTTGTAAGAACTAATCTATAAGTCTTGATTGACTGGCTAATTTTCACCTACAATACAGGACTTACTTGACTCCCAAGAATATTATGGTAAAAGTCTAAAAAATTCCAAAGTTTTGTCAGTCATATATTCCATCACATCAATACATGCACACACAAACTCATGCTCTCTCACATGCTTATATATTTCTGTGTTCTCACATACACAACCACATGTTTATATACTAGACATTGCAGTCAAGTTGGTAGCATTCCCACTTCCTAAGTAGAATTTTAGGATAAAGATAAGCTATCTTGACTGAGGATTTTAATGTTTTTCCTCAGCCCCTCCAGTCAAATCCAGGGAATCATTCCTAATATTATTCCATGACTGATTCTTTCCACATCTTTTCCAATTCATTAAGCACTAATCACCCATCATTCAACACTATATAATCAGAGCTACTGAAAATGTCATCTTTCCCAATTCTATATTATATTTAATTCCACACTTCTATATGTATAATATAAACTCCATCGTAAATGTAACACTTTATTGTAGTTCTTGTCCCCCTTTTTTCACACTACATGTTTCAGCATCATCAGGTGTATTTCATTTCACGTAGCTGTCACACTGCACTCAATATTAACATTCAAATTCGATTTCCAATTGTTCATTTTCTGTTTGCACCCGATATTCCAAAACTCCCCTTGTAGATTTTGTCAATTGTGTTTCATGAATATTCACACGTTGATTGGTTTAAAATTTTTAAATTCTCATTTAGCTTTAATATTTAAAATTTAAATTTAGATTTAAAAACCAAAATCACAGTGATATTCATTAATCACTAATCACCCATCATTCAACACTATGCAATCAGAGCTACTGAAAATGTCATCAAATAAATACATTTGTGTAATGATGACTTCTTACACTCATTTCATACATTATTCATTATTTAGAAATGTTAAATTTAAGAAGTGTAAAATGAACAATATTCGTTGTCTTTTGTTTCAAAAGACTGGATATGGGACTCTTGCTAAAAAGAATCAATAGAGAATATTTACTACTATGTTTATTCAGTGGCAAAAAATAATTTTATACAATATAAAAGTATGCTGTTAGTCATACTAGTTAGTTAGTTAGTTAGTTAGTTATTGGAGAGGGTGGGTTTCCCCATGCACTTAGACCAGTATTGGTCCATTGTGCTTCCCTCTATGATATTCTACCAGTCTCTATACCTTACCAATATTGATGCGTACCATCAGTCCCGACCGAACCAGTGAGTTAGGCCTCTACTGGCTTGGAGGTATCTATAATGCTTCCCCCATCTATCAGAGGCGTTAGAGACTACTGTTTGGCGGGAAATGTCCTTGAATTTGGCTCAGTGACCTCCTTTGGAGATATGAGGTTCTTTTATGTGCCGTAAAGCTACGACACGGGACCCACGGCTTAAAGTCCCTCCTGAAGGACTTGTTCCCTGAATTTTTCCTCCCTTAAAAATTCCATGACCTCCGCCGGGTTTGAACCCATGTACCATGAGTCATGAGGTGGGAACGTTACCTCTAGACTACGGAGGCCACTGTTGGTCATACTATCTTATCGGTATTGCAAATTATTACCTTAGCTTTCAAATTCCCTTCAAAGAGCAAGAATTCTGCTACATCTTTTGCCATGCTGTCAGTTACACCTTCCATAATATCCACAGGTATAGTTTTTATCAGGTCTGGAGTCTTTTCAGCCACACTTTCTATATCTGTTCCACCAGCAGATGAGGCAATAATAACTGGACCACTGAAGCCCCTAATTCGAAGAGAAAGAATAAGAGATTTCATGATGCAGTAAACAGACAGTTGGGCAGCAGTGAGTAGTAAAGAATCTCCAGCACAAAAGCATGAAATAATAAACAAACAATTACAAAGACAAAAAACTCCGTCCAGTGTGACTATTTAAGTTTCACTACTTGAGAACTTAGCACCCTTACATGTTCGATCCTTACGGATCATCTTCAGAGGGAACATCGATACTTATTTGGAAACTACTGTCACAATAGGTGTTCTGAGTGCTAAATTACATACACACACAATCCCTGGAATACACAATATACACAAAATCCAATTTTTTCACAATCACAGTAGCTTTCCTGGTTAGAGTGAAAACAACACAGCACGCCACGAACAAACACAGGAAGATACTAAGAATCTCCTTCTCAAGATAGATAGGCGGCACAAGTTCAGCCTACTTGGTTTATAAATTTTAACTTAAACACCAAAGTTTTAAGAACTTTAAAAACTATAACCAGGAAAGCTGCCGTGATTGTGAAAAAATTGGATTTTGTGTATACTGTGTATTCCAGGCATTGTGTGTGTATGTAATTTAGCACTCAGAACACCTATTGTGACAGTAGTTTCCAAATAAGTATTGATGTTCCCTCTGAAGATGATCCATAAGGATCGAAACATGTAAGGGTGCTAAGTTCTCAAGTAGCGAAACTTCAATAGTCACACTGGACGGAGTTGCTTTGTCTTTGTATTTGTTAGTGTGACAGACCAGAATGAAACAAATCAAATTAATAAACAAACATTAAGGAATACACAGAATATGTAGTAAAATTACGGGCATACAGAATTTTGGACTGAAAGTTCTTTACACAGGAGATGCTGCCTAAGTGTATCCAATTGCATCTCATCTTACTCCGAAGATATCACACAAATTTCAAATACCTGAACTGAAATTACTGAACAGGTTATTTGCCTGTGCTATATTTCATTAATATTTGTATTTATTGTATTGTATTGTATTGTATTGTATTGTATTTTATTGGAGAGGGTGGATTTCCCCATGCACTTAGACCAACTGCTGGTCCATTGTGCATCCCCCTGATATTCTACCAGTCTCTATTCCCTACCGGTACTGGTGCATGCCATCAGTCCCGACTCAGCCAGTGAGTTCGGCTTCTAGTAGCTCAGTGGTATCTTGATGCTTCCCCCATCTACCAGAGGCGTTAGAGACTACTGTTGGGTGGGAAATGTCCTGAATTTGGCTCAGTGGTCCCCTTAGGACATGGGGTTCTTTTACGTGCCATAAAGCTACAACACGGGACCCACGGCTTAAAGTCCCTCCCGGAGGACTTGTTCCCTTAAAAATTCCACGACCTCCGCCGGGTTTGAACCCGCGCACCTTGAGCACGAGGTGGGAACGTTACCCCTAGTCTATGGAGGCCGCTATATTTGTATTTAAGTTAGACAAATTAGTGTCTGTACCAAGACCAGGTTAATATTTGGTACAGTTCTAGATGGGGCTCATGCCATGCTCAGCCTAGATACAATGGAGAAAAAAAGAGGCATCCTAGTCCATGTTCTATATGTCAAGGAGCATCATAGTTTCCAAACAGCAGCCCACAAGCGCACATGTGTGTGTGCAAACTACTAGAAACAATAGAGAACTAAACATTGTTTGAAAGCAATTTTATCTGCTTGTCCACTGAAAATCAATATAATAAAGTGACAGTGTAATTCTGATAAGCAATAAGAGAGAAACTCTACATTATCTATGACATGTGCCACATTCACATCCCCTGTCTAGTAATAATTAAAAAGAGAGAGACAAATGTAATTAATCCATGTGGAACAAAGCAATATTTATGGAATGAGCAGGCTCAGAGAAAGTATGGAAGCATCTAATAAGTAAACCAGGCTTGTAATGTTAGCATTGAAAAAATGTGTTAAATCTGCAAAAAAAAAAAAAAAAAAAAATTAGATTGTAACTATTTTGAAAAAAGAGTTCCACAAACGAATTAAAGAATGACTTCATTATAAAATGAAACACTTGAGACTAATTTAAAAGCAAGAAGTAATCAAGGGAATTTGTGTGTGTGTGCGTTTTTCTGTGTTTGTGTACAGGTAGAGGCCTTGTGACAAGCTGATCACCCGCCCAAGGAGTCCTACCGAATGTGTAATATCTACACTAAGATATTGGGTTTTCGGACTTTATCCATCGTCCTGGTTTTTAAGATAACTAAGAAAAACACGACGTTTTGGAAAATGATCTGTTTCCGTCCTCAGGTGTTATACACCATCGTCAGAATCCTATAGTAACTACATGTAAGATCTAGAAAAACCGAAGTGAACGGAGAAGTTCATGGAGGTAGGCCTAGGCCCACTAGGGCTGTAGTGCCAAGGAAAAAAAATCAAGGAAATAAAGGTGCTAAATTTGAAACCATATAAGATAAAATTTAAAAAACAGTTAAAAGACTCCTAGGTAGTTAAAAGCTAGTCAGCAAATGCATACAAATTCTACCCCAAAATATCAGAGTTAGGAACAACAAGGATAAATAAATAAGGTATAAAACTGACATGATTTGTACAGAAAATGTGCACATGCTGAAACAGCATATAAGACAAATAAGAGAAAAGTAGAGACAGATACGAGGAGCGTTCCATATATAATGCATCCTATTTTTTTTAATGAAAACAACAACAGATACAGAAAGCATAATAATGCAGTTAGACAGAGCAAGATTTCAGCTACTTACAGTTATTTTTCCACATAATCACCACCATTCGTTATGCACTTTTGCCAGTGATGAACAAGAGCCTGTATGCCACGCCCGTAAAAGTCTGCCCCAGCAGAGGCTAGCCACTTTCATACAGCTGCAATGACAGCATCATTGTCTGGAAAGTGTAGCCCACTTAGTCCATCTTTCATAGGCACAAAGAGATGGAAGTCTGAAGGTGCTAAACCGGGGCTATAAGATGGATGTGGTAGGACAGTCCAGGCAATCTGCACAGTGGTTGCCAAACTGGTATGGGGTGTAGCGTTATCGTGTTGCAAGCGATAGGTTTTTCTGATTCTCTGGCCTAACTCGGGAAATGCGGGCTTTCAGCTTAGTCAGCGTTGTCTTGTAGCATTCAGAATTGACAGTCTCACCAGGTTCCAGGAAATCCAACAAAATCACACCCCGCCTATCCCAAAAGACCGTGCACATCACTTTCCCTGCCAACGGCTGTGTCTTGAACTTCTTTTTCTTGGGGAATCCGGATGTCGTCACTCCGTGGACTGTCTTTTGGATTCCGGCTCGTAGTGGTGACACCACATCTCATCTCTGGTGACGATGCTGTCCAGAAACTTGTCTCCTTCAGCCTCAAACTGGTGCAGCAGTACCTGACAAACTTCCATTCGATGAGTTTTGTGGTCCTGTGTAAGCATCCACGGGACCCACCTGGAACAAACTTCGCGATAATCCAGCTCCCGCAACTTCGTTTCCAATGCATTACAGCTGATATTAAGCCATGCACACAGTTCCCTGGTCATTATCTGACGATCTGTATGGATGAGGCGCTGTTCATTGTGACGAGTGGCAGCTGAGCAGGGACGCCCAGGGCGTGGCTTGTCGTGCACTTCACTTTCGCCACTGTTGAAACGCACTACACACCGCCTCACTGTGCTGACATCCACTCTATTGTCTCTGTACACCTTTAGCAAGCGTTGATGGATGTCAATGGGTGCAATTTGTTCAGCAGTGAGAAATTCAACAACACATCTCTCTTTCACATGCACTTCTATGTTAAACGCCATTTTGGTAGACTGCTCTGCTGTCGCTATCTGTCACACGACAACCAAACTAACAGTACATTGGCAGGAAGGTTCGACCTTTACTTCAACACCACCAACATCCAGCTCAGACGTTACATATTGACACAAAAAATAGGAGGCATTATATACAGAACACCCTTCGTATATAAATCAGAACCAGCAGACTGAGACAAGATGTGCATGACAAGGGTACTACAGAAGCAACAGCCAGCTGTAAACAACTGTAAATAAGTATAGTTGTGCTAGTATCAATTATATTTTATTTTATACTGTGAGAAAGACAGGATACTGGTCCTCAAAACATCAATGTGTGAATCAGAAAATACTGAGAATCACTGAGCTGGGTGATTAGGAAGTAGGCAAATAAGAGAGTTGGTCAGTTAAATGCTGTGCTAGTGAATTAATATGGCCAGTAAGGCATACAATAAGGTGCAAATATATGGATCAGATCTTAGAAATAGGAGCAATGAACATGTTTATAGAGTAGGGTGACCATGTACCTGAGTCCCTTGAGCATGCATCCATATAAAGTCATCGGCAGTCACACTTAACACAGAATTTACTAGACACAACACAAACATATTGTGTAATGAACTAAAGTTGGATGTCTGTAAATAAATAATGTAAATACATCAAATTATGTGCACACAAGTCACCAATTAATCTGTAACTGTTCAAATTTTGTATAGATATACCAGGAAAAGGAAGATACATGACACAGTTTTATATGAAACAATGGAAGGAAATAGGTAATTTAGATGCTAACCTATCCATTAGTATGCATATGTAGGTCTCCCGTACTATATTCACTGATTCAGCTACCATCACTTTCTTAACCAAAATACCTTCTTTTGGAGTTTGCTTTGTTATTAACCTGTGGCCAAGCATCTTCCCAACAATCTCCACAACGTCACATGGGCTGAAAAAGAATTTATAGCAGGTTAAGTTGTTAAATGAATATGACTAGCATAATACACATATTTCCCAACTGCACTGCTTCATGCTTTTTCCCAGTATCTTCATATAAATGCCAGGTCAGTATCTTAAAGTAGGCCATGTCTGCTGCCTTCTGCATTACTCCTTATCCTTTTACAATCTGAACTTTAACAAATGATATAGCATCATAAACAAATAAATAGTAATTACATATACAGTGAAAGCCCAATTTAATGTTTCTTTGGCAAACACTGAATTGGAACACTAAACTGAGGAAACTTTTATGTGGCATAAATTTAACACTGAGATTATTGGCTTGGGATCATTCAACGTTAAATGAGCGAAAACCTTAAACTAGAAAATATCAGATGGAATTTCCACTGCATACAGTGTTATCTGAAACATCAACTGAAGCCACACAATAAAATAAACTATTTAGAATACAATATAGCTGCATTTAACCCCCATGCAAATTTCATACCACATTTGTGACAAACATGCCAGTAGTTTTCAGTATTTTTTTCTGGAACAGGTTTCATCATAATAGATACACATTGTGGTTGGCTAAGAGAAAAATGTAAGCTGACCTTTGTTTGGACCTTCTAAATCAAAGCTATCCAAAGCACATTATCTTTCTGCTCTCAAAATTATGAGGAAGAGGTCATAAATTTTATTAAAAGTTGAGCTGAGGTATTTGGAAGAAACTAGTGAATATTCTAAATTCATGTATTATAGCTTCATTTACACAACAACATCTCAGAATTTGAATCCTGTGTCACAAGTGAGCTCATGGAACAAATGAAGATCTGCAGCAACATTTTTACCAGCTATGATCTCTAGAAGTATGTCTTAATGCATAAACCCACAAAATCTGTAGGCATATATTTGTCCAGAAACTGACAGACTCCATGCTAATTACATCATCCATGCTATGATTAAAATATTCAAAACCAAAATTTTCATTCAGGGAACTAAAAGCTCTGATGTGATAAATTTTACTACTGTATCACAGCAGGCTGGAAAAATGCTTAGTGGGTGCTGTGGTGATTTGTAAAGTGTGGATTAGTGATAGTGCTGTAATTAGTTGTAGGGGTGTGGTCAATAAATCCATTCTCCAATCCAAACCTGACATATAGTTAACACACATATAAAAACGTGACAATATCTTGAAAGCATGATAAGTACATACATACTCTTTAGTTAAGTGTACTCCGCTTTTGAAACCATTGTCAAAACGCCCAAGTCCTCTACCTCCTGCACGAATTTGTGCTTTAATAACATACTCATCCACTTCTGAAAATGAGAAAATAGATAATTCATTGTGAGCAGCTGGTGCATTATCACATTATAGCAAGCAAGGAACAAAGTATCAATTCCCCCAAAGCAGTTCAACAATCAATAATATAATTAATAGATACTTGTATACAACCCACATAACTTAACTTTAATAAGCTCAAACGCTGTTTGAAATTTGACACATTCATCTACTAATATTTACTTTCACTGAATTTTCATATGCACATATATTTCTAATATTGTAATTAATTAAACTGTTTTACCACAATTCTAAAATGTAAATTATAATTAAACAACTTCAATTATGGCTGGAAACCATACCATGGAAACATTTTGATGAGAACTGAGTTCAGATGCAGAGAGAGAAAATCAGTAAGTTATACTAAACAGCAAAAGGAACAAACATAATGGGATGTCAACAGAAAACATAACAGAATTAACATAGGCACTGACCGTTACAATGACAAAGAAGTAAAAAATCTCGTGAAGAAAGCTACCCGCTGTGTGACACTATGAAAAATATAAATTCAACAAACATCCAGAAAACAAATATAACTGGCTATACCAGATAAACTGTGCAATACAGCATTGTGCAAATTTTGTGAGGTTTCTAAAAATTATTTCAGCATGTTACAAACAACTGGCTGTATTTTTATGACTCTGCCTTTCATTAATTAAATTGATTAGCCTGAAAAACATTATAACTCTGAAAAGCATGCATAGAGCCTTTCCACAGAGAAATTACATATACAAGGAATACATTCTATAGACAGCAGAAGTTATATCAGAGAAATGTTTCTGTGTTTGGTGAAGCTTGAAAATACAAATGCAGAAATGATGACTGAAACTACAATGAAAGAATTGAAGCAGAAACATTGACTTAAAATGTTCAATAGCCTCTGACTTTGACGGAGCTACAAATTTTCCAGGGAATATTTGGGGAGTGCAAAGAAAACTTCTGTGAACTATCTGAACAGAAATATCACGCATTCATCACTAGGCATATGTGTTATCATTAGTGTTAACTAGAGTACATAATTAATATCCAACCATCAAATGCATGTTACATGTCACAAGAAATGTCTACAATCTGTTTCATAAATCATCAAAAATGAAAGGATATTACATGATGTGCAATTTATCCTGGAAAAGCCACCACTAAAAAAGCTTGAAGCAACTAAAGTTCATTGGTCGGGCAATTTCCAGTAAATTAATGCAGTCATGTTAGGGTAGCACCATGATCGTATGTGAACATATTCATAAGGATGGGTCCAAACTTGTATCAGTACTGGCAGCATTATATTGATATTAGGAAAATCTAGGTTAAAAATCTGCCACAGAATCCTGTTCTACTCACTGAAATTTTGAGTAAGGCACCTGGCTTCTTCTACATTTTCAACAACTCTGAATTTCTGAATAGCTACTCCATTTGAGTCCAGAAGAGCCTTGCTCTGGCATTCTAACAGGTTCAGTTTTCGTACACAAGCTGCTCTGACCTGCAAAAACACAAACACAATACAATGGCTACTTCTGCTATTGGAGAAGCAGAGTTAAAAATTGATGAACTGCATGAAATTTCTACCCTCTTTAACACTTCCATTCATGGTACTACTTTGTCATTACCTCATAACCACTGTTAATTTTGATAATAAATCTTTGTAGGTAATCATTAACATACAGTATCAGTCGACACACCACAAATTTTACAGCAACAAAGCAGCTTCGCTTAATGGGGGGGGAGTCTAACTGGGTCCACTCGGCACAGCGGCCACTGATGGGCCTGGGTGATTATGATGATGGAGAATTTGATGGAATGAAGATTGGCAGGTGAAACCAAAGTACTCGGAGAAAACCCGCCCCAGTGCCACTTTGTCCACAACAAATCAAACCCGGGCTACCCCGGTGGGAAGCCAGCAACTAACTGCTTGAGCTATGGCGCGGCCGAAACAAAGCAGCTTACTTAAGTTTAAACTTGTCTCCCATCCAAAAGTTACATAGTTCAAATCCCTGCTGACGGACTACATAGTACAATGAAATTACAGGTCAACTGTTTATACAATTATTGTTTTCGGGCATTATCCATCTTCCTGTTTTTATATTAAATATGTTTCAGGGACTGGATTCTGTCTCTGTCTTCAGGTGAAAGCCTACTCAGTTGGGACCTTTACTTCTGTGGTCCATAACGTTACAATTGTCATTGTTGGTATATGTGCAGCATGAAATGCAAACAACATAAATTTCTGAAGTACTTAAAAAGTTTGTTGAAGGCTATAATGTTACCTATGGAAAAATTAAAAAGTTTATCACACAGATCAGCATTACTAAGAATTAACATTTTTATTTTTATAATGTGCATAGAAATCTTACTTTGTCAGCCTATTATCAAGACAGATAAGACAGCTAATTTTCAGTTCCAGTCATACACACGTATGTTTAGGTAATGTGAATTTCTAGATACCACAGTTTAAATGTAACATCTTAAATACCAGTAACTGTTACTAATTTCATGTAAAGTTGTAATATTTAGAAGTGACAGTCCAGGAAAAGCTGGGCAGAGGATGGGCAGGTCCATTCGTGAAAGTTGAGGGGTGTTGTGATTAGTCATTTGTCTGCATTCAGTGTGAGCAGACATCTCAAGTTCAGTTAAAAGCATTCTTCCGTGTAGAGTCAAGTTAAAAAGTTTTGACTCTGGAGTTGTATTTGAGTGTATTATTCTCTATTTACTGTATTGATATTTTATTTTATTGTTTATTTTTATTCGTTGATTTTCTTTTTTGTTTATTTATATTTGTACATTTTTTCTATCTCGATAAATGATACAAACTCCGTCCCAAGTGCAAACAATATATATTATATGTCTTTGATCTTGCTCTCTTCTACACTACATGTTTCGGCCTCTAACGGCCATCATCAGGTGTATACTCTTACGTTGCTGCCACACTGAACCCAGTCTAAAATTTATTTATACAATATAAACACATAAGAAAATATTACGTACATAAAATAATAATACGAATATTTGTATATTACAGATAACACCTGTACAGTGTGGAAACAAGAACTAGCCGCTGCAGCACTTTAGACATAGGGCGAGTAACCCTAACAATTTTAAATTTTAAATTTAAAATTTAGAGAAAATTTTAAAGGATTTTAAAATTATCACTAAANAGAGTGCAACAGGATGCTTAAATATAATATTTTTCTGTCTCCTTTAACATGCCACCTACACAAAGTAAATTGAGTGGAAAAGTGTTGCATTCACAATCAAGAGAAATTGTTAGTAATGTATATAAGTATATGAAAGAGGTTGGGCCAGCAATTACAGTGAACAACATAGGAGTGGTAGTAGCAAAGGCAACAGGTGTATCGGAAAGTAGTGTTAGAAGAATAATAGGAGAAACAAAAAACATTGAATCTGGCGCTTCCACTTCCTTTTCGACACCCCATAAAGAAAGACCTAGGAAATCTCCACTAGCTACTTTGGACAACTTTAACGAGTCTGTGGTGCGAACAAAAATTAAAGACTTCTACAAAGTCGAAAAACAGAGACCTACCCTGAAGAAAACATTAGATTTTCAGGGATGCATCTCCACATTAAAGAAAATTATTTTGAAACTGGGGTTCCACACTTCACATATGCATTTTCTCCTAATGAGATTCAACTAATATAAACATTCTAATATCATCTTTGTTAGAGATGGCCTTTATAACCAGAATATGATGACTTTCACAGAATAGTTCTGCAATTGCAACAGTACTGGAAGAAATTTTTGATCTTTATTACATTTCTCATGTCCTGAATGCTTTTTTTTTTTTTTTTTTTTTTTGTAAAACCAATTCAATATCACAATTAATTTTCAGAACAGACATAGAATTAAGCTTTTTATGGACAGAACTGGATGAATCTTGCACAAGTAAAATGTTTTTCAAATATAGTAAATTTCGACTGTGTACCTTAATTTTTGATTTGTACCTTACATTCCACAAATGCTTGCTAATACAATACATGCAGTACATAATGAAAAGAACATTTTGTGATAGTCTGAAGCATAATTTTGTAGCAACTAAAAATCTATTATACTGCCATAACAATTTCCATACTCACACTGTGACAAGCAAGTTTTGTCTTCATCAAAGATTTAAATACTGCTGCCATCCTGAAAATAAAATTGTTCACAGCTATACATCTGTTGTCACAAAGACGAGTCTTGTTACATCAAGAATAAAATGACTGAAACATTTAAGCAATATATGAGGTCATTTTATTTTGTTACTGAAGAGTCTGATGGCCAGTACACAGACAATTCATATACAGATACAGTTCTCTGAAAGTCATGTTAAGAAAAGATGCATATAAATAAATAAATACTGGCTACTTGTTTACAAATTGAGATACAGTTGTGTCATGATTATTAGGTATCTTCAACATCATGTGTGATTTGTGTAAACGACTGAAGTGCTGTTTTAATTTACAGTTTGAGACTCTGCAGCATTTTATTTTTTAAAAGAATTTTTACCTTCCCATGCTTTATACGAATGCAAAAGGATTAAAATACTCAAAAATGTAATTTCACCTCTTCTTTTGTATGGGTGTGACACTTGGTCTCCAACATTAATAGAAAAACACAGCCCTGTGGAAATAATTGGATCTAGGAGGGACGAAGCAGCAGGAAGCTTAAGAAAACCACATGAAGACAGACTCATAATCTGCATTCTTCACCGAATACTATTAGGATGAACAGATCAAAGAGGATGAGACAGATGAGGCACATATCATGCAAAGGAAATATGAGATGCCTACAAAGCTTTGATCTGAAAACCAGAAGGAAAAGACACCTTGGAGGACCTAGGTACAGATTGAAAAATATCAAAATGGATCTCAAAGAAATGAGGTGAGGGGAGGGTGTGGACTGGATTCATTTGGATCACAACTGTCAGCCTTTGCTTTTGCTGAGCTCAAAATGATAGCTGAAAAGTAACAAATATTTTTCATTCAAACAGATTTGTTTGCTGAGTGTATGTGAATCTTAACTGAAAAGATCAGTATTACAAGATTTGAGGGACAAAATGCAAAGTTGGTAAGACAACAGACAAGATCATGTGACTACACTAATCTTGAACATGTGGAATATAACTTAAGCCCACATCCTGCTACATGTTGCAAGTGATATTCCTGAGGTACACCATCCCCATGTTGAACATGATATGTCACAATTGGCGTTACCAAAACAGTGTTGGAAAATGAGTACACAAGCCATGTTTTTCTCATTCATATACATAACTACTCGACATTCCCTAGTGGAACTATACACATGTGAGCATGATCTTTAACAGTGGTCATAACTGAACTACTGAGCTCGCAACTCAGTGGACAAGTGTTCAGGAAGAGACTAGAGGCATGATGGACAAAATCCTGATGAAGCCCATGTTTAAAAAAATGCTGATTAGATTACTATTCCATATAGGTCTTGCTTTTCCTGTTGCATATTAGCTCATGGTCAGAACTCATTAAGGATTCCCACAAACTTGTTCATGATTAGTGAATAACTGATAACAGTTTGGTAACTCATGACAAACTCTTTGTTTCACAGAGATAATACATACTTCCAATGAAGTGAATACGTGTAGAGAAATCTGATTAAACTATATGCATTATCATGCAATTGACTATGACATAAGAAACAGGTTTTATAAAAGACAGCTTTGCAAATGGTCATGAAATAAGTCACATGCAGATACTTGGAATTCACTAATACCATTCAAAAGGATTCATTAAACTGTTTGGAACTCAGAATCATGGTTGACAGGTAGAGAATTAGTGTTATACAAAGCACGTATTTCATACTTTTATAGTTGAACAAATACACAATGAATGGAACTTTATGCCTATTCAATCTCATGTGTTCTATACATTACTTATTAACAAAACTATCATAAAAATGCATTTAATGTACGTGTTACAAAGTCTGTATAACTATACACCCAGAGATACTGTTCTGTATACTCGATACTTGTATCTGAAAGAATGAAGAATTGAAGAGACAGCAAGAAATGAAAAAAGGTATACAATAGAATTAGGTCAAATTTCGTTTTCATCTTTTTGATTTACTTAACAATACTATTTGTAGCTCAGACTACATATAGTGTTGAATGATAGGATAACTGATAAGTAAAGGGTTGGAAAGTATGTGTAATGCAGCAATGATGACCTACTTTCAGGTACAATCTCAGCATTCTCCATGAGGGACTGCAGAAAATTACAAGAAAACCTCCATCAGGATGGCCAGTTTCTGTGCAGTGATACGAATCTGGGACTTCCTGAATATGAAGCAGGGGTGTGACATCTGGTGTTATGCACTTCTCTTTAGCAGATTTAGATCTGTCTGTTGATGTCACATATTAAAGTAGAGTTCAGTTTTGTCCACTGCTTTCTTTAATTTCTTTTTTAGGGTTAGGTTCAAATAGCTTAGCAAGCAAGCTAGACAGCAGGCATTAAAAATTGTGGGATGACATGTCTGTAGCACTGTGCCAACATTCTAAAAAGATAATATATTCTACTGTTGTTTCGGATGTTTTGAGAACTATATTTTCACCACTTTTTCTTGACCAAAGAGGTGAATTTTATGTGCCATAAGGAACAGTCATTGAACACTTGGAATGAAGAGATTAATTACACTGCTTTGCAAAAAAAATTTGCTGGAACAAGTACAGGTTTGAGTTCTGCAGTAGAAGGGTAATGGAGAGGAAAAATACAATCAGTGATGCAATTTTCATTTGTACAGTAAGTTATTTTTTACTTTAGTGTGATTGGCTAATGGTGATCTTATATGTACCAAACTGTCATATCAGATGAACAACCAGTAACATTTGAACAATTGAAGAGGACAATTCTGGCTTTAGATTGCTTTGGTTGAGTTCATGAGAAATTTCAAGCTTTCAATGTAAGATATCATTGTAGGCTGCACCATAGCTCAAGCTGTTAGTCGCTGGCTTCCAACTGCGGCAGCCTGGGTTCGATCCTGGGGGTCTGGTCAAGTGGGATTTGTGGTGGACAAAGTGGTGCTGGGACAGGTTTTCTCCAAGTACTTCGGTTTCCCCTGCCAATCTTCATTCCACCAAATTCTCCATCATAATCACCCGGGGCAGGCTACAATAGGCCAATCAGTGGCCGCCATGCCGAGTGAACCCAGTAGGACTCTGCCCCTCCACTAAGCGAATAAAAAAAAAAGGATATCATTCTGTAAGAAAACTGCAACCCATTGAGTGTGGTGGAAGGAATGCCATGTATATAGTGTGAGTGAGAAAGGATATGTAAATGAGGTTGTGTGAGGATGGAGGGGAAAGAATAGTTGAAGATATAGGACACAACCAGTTCTGCAGTGAGACCTGTACATAAGCTAGGGAATGAAATCCGTGGCTTTAGTCCGCAAGCGAACTATACTCGTTATATAAATCTGAAGCCCTATAGATTTAACAAATCACAGGCCCATCACGTCATCTCACAAAAAGTTTAAACTGGTTTTACAGAACGATAAATACATAAATAAATATTTTTGCATGGGATGCATGGGAGCTAAAACATAATTACAATACACATCATGCTTTGTAAGTAATAAGTTTTGAAGAAAACCGTCAAAGTTGGGTAAAGTTCCATCAGTCAGATTTATATATTCGCCTAAAAAGCCTACTCATACACTACAAACCTGACAGCACTCCCACAAAGCAAGTAAAAAAACTATGTATGTGGCACAAATACATTACTTGACTTCATGTTTCTTTCATTGCTTACTAAAGTTCTGGAACTCTAAGACTAAGATAATTCTACAAAATGCATTTGACAACAAATGACCTCACAAAATTCTGAAGTGAAAATTTTCTAGATGTAACAACTACATCATAGAATTGAAGTATTAAACACAGGAAAAACACGGTGAGTACAAATACTACTAAGTGTACTATCAGAAGTCACAAGTTCAACTCTACGTTTGAGTTCAGAACATTTTAAATTACAGAAACAAATATGTATAATTAGATTGAGCAATTCAAGGGAGATGAGATAGGCAGGGTATATAGCATGAATAGGGGTCGAAAGGAGTGAATATAGGATATTGATGGGAAAGCCAGAAGGAAACAGACCACTAGGAAGACCAAGACATGTGTGGGTACGCAATATTAAAATGGATCTTAGAGACTTTATCTATGCTACAGTCCTGCCTGAACAAAATTACACTTACATATCCCAATTAGCAAATCGTCTCAAAGTTACAAAATCCAAAGTTTGTCCATTAAATTAAAACCCATTTCACAAACAACCAAACCTCACATTCCCAACCGTTGCCGACCTACAGCTGCTCCAGTGCTGACAACGCTGGTGAAGTTGACGGTCAAGAACGGACAAAAATTGGCAACATTGGTAGTTGGCGGAAGATGATATTTGTTTTTTTTTTTAATAGTGTGAGTGTGTGGATTGTGTTGAGTCTTGTTGTGTGTAGACAATGGCAAATTATCATAAACCTGAAGCACGTACCATTCAGGAATTGAAAGATATAGCGAACAAGTTACGAATACATTCAATCACAGCTACCAATGCTTCGAAATCGGGGTATGTACCAAGAATGATGTGTTATTTTCCTATCACGTAACCTGTATCCAGCGGCCATGTGGCACACCCAGATCAAATATGTACATACACATGCTAAGCACCAGCTTCAGTGACAGTAACTTGTTTTATAGTCCGGGAGTTAATTCAGAATTTTTATTGGCGGCAAGGAAACAATGTGGAAAAGATTTGTAGTTTATAGCAGGACTGTGCTACATTTGAAGAGCTCCATCCACAGAAAACAATACGAAGCACACTGCGTGAGTGTGAAATTTTGTGGACTAATTTTATTTGCTTAAGTCGGCCACGGTGAGTAAGATGATGATGTCTCCAGACAATCGTGCGTTGCTGGAGGTTGGTGTACGTTAAGAGCAGAAAGAGGAAACGAACGAAGGCCGGCGAACTCCCGGTATGCGGTTCCCACGTGCCGTCAAGCAAGGCGAACGAACTCTTCGTTCGCTTTCGGTCCATTGAACTAGCAGGATGGTTCATCAAGGTACGCGTGCGTAGTGGCCGGGAAGAATTAAAAACGTTTGCCATAACCCTTTTTTTTTCGCATGCGTTCTTCTCGTCAGTTCCTGTTATTTGCTTCTGCATTTTTGACATTCACTTTGTTATGCAGTAGTTCAACGATAATGTAGAAATTTTAATATCAAAATGGAAAAAAAATTAAATGAATAAGACATGCATTTTATAGACAACATACCATATAGAACGTTTTCCCTGGAAACGGTCAGTACTTGATTGTGAACCCAAGAGAAAAATGGAATCTTCATGTGTGAATGGAAAAAAAACAGGAGATGAAAAATAATGGAGGAAAATATGGAAGGGACAGATAGAAACATCACAAGCCAACTGTTTATAGTAAGATGGGATCAATACCAAATTTGGCCAAATACGAATGTTACTTGTATTGTCAAGAATTCACTGAAGAAGGGGAAAAATATTGGGGAAAATTTCAAACATTCATTGTCTTTTGCGTTTTTGCATTGTACCCACTTCTGCATATGTAGTAGAAAACTTGGTTAGTGAGTATTCATATCAATAGCTTTTACAGGAGTAATATGTTCTGATTTGAAAATTATCACATTACATTACATTTCATTCCATGGATCGAAAGTTAGTCAAAATGGTTGTAGGATGTGGAATATATCATGTAAATACAAAACACATGTGCAGCCCCAATGGAGATCTCACACAAGAGAAACCAAGAATACACAGTGACTACACACAAGGGTATTTAAAGACACATAAGTTATTTTCTAGACAATAGGTATTCATCAACAGAGTAGAATGATTCATTTGATTGGCGTTTCAGTATGCTAGAACTGGTTGTGTTACTGCTTTGGTTGTGAATATAGTGTGTACAACAACATATTAGGTGTCTGCTTTGGTTAGGGTTTTAGAATGGCAGAAAAAAATATTCCAAATCATGCTGCATAATTATCAGCCAGATATGCATACTCCTAGTACATCACTTCGTTCAAGCTTCCAGTTGCTCACTATGTTAGTAGTCTGTGCAGCAGACATTTTGATGCTAGGTGATGATATCCTGAACTTTTAAAATTAATTCCAAATATAATGAAATTAATCATGGTAATTTAATTCCTAAGTACTGTATCTATAACAGTTTTAACATACTCACCATTAATGTTATATGTGACACTGTTTGATATTCATATGGTTAGAAATGTTGATTTTTAAGTTAGAGGAGGTAGTTTTGAAAATATTTTCCCAGAAGTTTTCCTAATTTTTATGGAATGTTGCAGTTTTGAAAGTATACCTACTGTAACAACCCCACACCTGCAGTTGTGACGGACAGAACATTAGGATAGAATAGTCAGCAATAGGTTGGGGACTTGCATCTCATTTTTACTCATTCCTGATTATACTGTCACCTTGCTCCATTGATGGTATGTGTGTGGTAGCTCTGTAGGATGTTCACTTGCATAGAAACTTAGTGGGGTAGTCTGGGACAGCATGAGAGTGGTTTTTTGATACTGAAGCTAGGTGAGGGGTAAGAAAGTCAAAATTTCCCAGGACTTCACTCCATTTGGAAGGTGTTTTTTTGCCATGAGGATTAGAAGCCCAAAATACTGTCACGTGTTAGTGAGACACGGGGTCTGGATTGATAATTGGATTTATTGAACGCCTACAACTTATAACTACAAATAATCATAACATTTTCACTAATGCACGCACTCTGCAAATCACTAATGCAAAAACTAAGTCTTCTCTGTCTTCACTAGTTGTTGCTTGGTGGCTGCATCTAACAGTGCAACTCAAGACTCACACTGCCGACTCCGACTTCCGGCTTACAACCGTCGACTTCTGACCCCATGATTGATTAACTTCAGAGTCAAAGTTGCTTTATGACTGGGGGTTTACTGCCAATCAGTTCTCCTTGGTGCCAAGCCCTTTGGGGTTCATGAACAGCGATTTTTTTTTGTAGCTGAACCATTGCGATCCTAGCCCTTATGTAACATCCTCTCTGACCAGATGATAGGTTTGTCGCTTATGAATAAGCTTGGCCTTTGTCAGTGGTCAGTGTGTTGTAGGATGGTGGCGCTGTGATGGACTCGATGCCAGAGAGAGCGTCGGCGACAACGTTGTTCTATCCAGAGATGTGTTATATCAGTCGTAAATGGGGTTAGAAAGTCGAGATGATTAAATTGCCGCGGTGGACATTTGTCCCACTTCTGCTGGAAGATGCAGGTGATAGGCTAATGGTAAGCGGCCTCCGTAGTCTAGAGGTAACGTTCCCACCTCATGACTCGTAGTACGCTGGTTCAGATACCCGGCGGAGGTCGTCGAATTTTTAAGGGCGGAAAAATTCAGGGAACAAGTCCTCAGGGAGGGACTTTATAGCCGTGGGTCCCGTGTCGTAGCTTTACGGCACGCAAAAGAACCTCATATCTCCAAAGGAGGTCACTGATCCAAATTACGGACGTNGAAGCACAATGGACCAATATAGGTCTAAGTGCATGGGGAAACCCACCCTCTCCAATAACTAACTAACTAACTAACTAACTAACTAACTAGGCTAATGGTCGGTGATGTGTCAGGGTATGCCAGTAGAGTGGCACCAGGCAAACTCGTCTTGCACTCTTCGAAGGCCTTGTGGAGTTTCGGCGTCCAGGTGATGGGGCTAGAGCCCTTGACTCTGGGGCCAGAGAGAACGTGGCCGCCGCGTGTGGCAGAAATCGCCTGTAGAGAAGTTAAGCATGCCCAGAAACAGGCGGAGCTGACTGGCGGTCTTGAGAGGGTGGCAGTCCTGAGCTGATTTGGCAGACGCTGTGCTCTCAATAGTCTTTGCCTTACACCATCATCTTCATTTTAAATTTGATGGCTTCATTGATTTACTTCATGGTTTTCAGCTCCCTTACAAAACAGCCCTTCCCGGGTTCTGTTGAAATTGTGGAGGACAACAGGTGCTTTGAACACTGAATTCACAGTTTCTTCTTTGCAGCATATTGGTCTTTAAATATTGTATATCTAACTTCGCATTTAATATACCAAACGCACATTCTGCACTTTTTCGGTCACGAGAGAGTCTGTAATTAAATATACGTCTGTTGTTAGGGCCCCCATACACACACAGTTTGGC